GGCCAGGAGGGGCGCTGGGGGGGCGAGGCCCTCCCCCGTCCCCTGAGCCCTGGAATGTGCTGACCAGCACAGGCCTAATCCCAGCTCTGCCCCAGGGGGCCACTGAGCCAGCGGAAGCTGGAGAGGGCTGGGGTGGGAAGCAGGGTGGGTTGGCAGAACCTGCTGTGGCACAGAGGGGACCCCGGGTGGTCAGAGGGGACCCCAGAGGTGGGTGCGTTGGCCTCCCTTGCCCTCCCTTGGCCAGATAGGAGGGTTGTGTCTCTGGGGTAGCTGAGACCCTGAAGAAAGAGTGGGGCTGGGGTCCCTGCCTGGCTACACTCTTCCTGCAAGGAGGGGGCAGCCGCCTGAAGCCTGGAGGACCCTAAGCAGTGACACGGGCGACAGCCCAAGAGACTCCTGGGAAAGCGGTGGGGGGCGGGGCAGGTGCCCACCTCCCCCGTGCCTGAATGGAGCAGGCCAGCTGGCAGGGAGAGGCCAGAGGGTGGAGGCAGATGTGGGTGGGAAGGGCACGGTGATCCCATCAAGCCACCCGGGGAGGGGCTCCCGCACCCCCAACCCAGCCCCCCACCTATATCCGCAGGCTCGGCCACCCTCCAGCAGTGACCGGGGGCAGATGGCGCTGCAGGTAGGCAGGACCAGGGCCGAGACCCCGGACTCAGAGAAGGGAGCAGGGCTGGGGGCGGGGTGCCCTGCACCCAGGGCTGGGGTGCTGGCTCCGCTCTCTGGCCAGGCCCCCCAGACTGAAAAGGTGGGGGTGAAGGCAGCCCCAGAAGCAGGCTTGTCCCCCCCAGCCCCTGGCCCCGGTCACCCCCTCACGAAGGACGTGTTAGAGGAACGGGGTCCCAGTGGAGACTAGGCACCGCGGGTGGGTGGGGGAGAGGAACCCCCAGACAGGTGGGATACACAGCGGGAAGAAAGGCAGCTGCAGCCCTGTGGCTTTTGTCTTTTGCATTCAGTTCGAAGCCTTCTGTGCGGGGGGCCTGGCCCCTGGCTGGAGCCTGCTGGTCCAGGGACAGTCTGACTCCGGAGAGGACAAGTAAGGGACACTGCCCTCCCACGCACACATCCTCTCCCTAGGCCTGGGTGGGGCGGCTGCTCCAGCCGCTCTGGAGACCCACACAATGTTCCCCCAGGTTCGAGATCAACTTCCTGTCCGAGTCGGGGGACATTGCCTTCCACGTCAAGCCCCGGTTCTCCAGCACCACCATGGTGGGCAACGCCTTCCAGGGCGGCTGCTGGGGCCAGGAGGAGGTGTCCAGCATCTTCCCCTTGGTGCTGGGGGAGCCCTTTGAGGTGATGGGTGGGGTGCTGCTGGGGCCAGTGGGGAGGGGTTCCCTGTGGACGCTCACAGGTCCACAACCAAGGCAGAAGTCTCCCTGCCGGGGTCTGGGTGGGCCTCCCTTCCCCAGCCTCCCCGTGGGTGCAGCGGGGTGCCCGCTGGACCTTCTCTTGGCCTAAAGGAAGGGGCCTGCCAGGGAATCCCAGCTCCCATGGCGGGGTCGGACTGTGAGGGGGCTGTGTGTCTTGAGGCCCCGGGGGCTGCGCGACTGGGCTCCCTGGCACTGGCCAGCGCATCCCAGTTGGATGCAGGAGCCGCCCCGGGCAGACCCGAGGTCACGACTGCGTCTGCCACCTGCACAGATGGAGGTCAGCTCGGACGCGGAGCACTTCCACGTCTACGCACAGGAGCACAAGGTGCTGCAGTTCCCACACCGCCAGAGGCCGCTGGCCGCCATCACCAGGGTGCGGGTGCTCAGCGACCGCCGCCTGGCCCAGGTGGAGCTGGCCAAGAGGGACCTGAGCTGGGGGTAACGATCCCGCCCCCAGCTCCGCCCAGCCCACGCCACGACCCACACCGGCAGGGCCTCTGCTGCGCTCCCTGATCCTGGGACCCTCTTCCGCCCACCCCAGCCTCTCCCCTCCCAGCCAGCAGGGCACGCTCGGTCGCTGGACCAGGGCCACAGA